ACATAAACGAATTTAAAGGACGTGAATTATTAGATTATTCAAAAACGTGGATTTTATTATTCGTAAGAGAGAAGGAAAGGGAAAAAAGGTTGGACTGGAAGGGAAAAGGGAAGAAAGAGGGAGAGAGCGGACAGTGGCCAGAAGCGAAGGCAACGTGGCCGCCGAACATGCAAGGCAGTCGCTCTCGCGCGCCCGCTCGTCTCGGTTCGTCGACCTCGCGAGGAATGCAAGGCATAACCTACCGTAACACCACTACTACACCATCACCGCCGCCGCCGCCGCCGCCGCCACCACCACCGAGAGTCGCGCTCGCGCGCACGCGCGTCCGAGGAAGGGCGAGAGGAAAGCGGGAGGGAGGGAGGGAGAGAGAGAGAGAGAGAGAGAGAGAGAGAGAGAGAGAGAGAGAGAGAGAGAGAGAGAGAGAGAGAGAGAGAGAGAGAGAGAGAGAGAGAGAGAGAACCTTTCGTGCTACCGCAGAACCACCTGCGTAAGAGCCAAGAAACCCCCTTGAAATCGTCCTCCGAGAGTGTCCTTCTCTCCCACCTCCTCCTCCTCCTTCTTCTTCTTCTTCTTCTTCTTCTCTGGCGGTGACTCACTCGCTCGGCTTCGCACGTGCGACGTCCACCGTCGTATTGCTTTTAATAGTATACGCAAGGATTAACCTTTTTCTCACCTCGAGTTTCAAAGTTAAACATTTAGTTCGCAATTTTCCATGAAATTCCAAAATGACATTATCCCACCTGGTGTCTTAGCGTTTGCGTTAATCTGTCATTAGTAGTTAGGACGAGATCCGATGGCGCCTGACACGTATTTATCCTAACGGAAGAATCGCTAATAGTACCTACCTACCTCGTTACATCGGCACCGGTAATCGCGCTTCGCCGCGGACAGGTACAGTTATGCATATAAGACGAGTGTTCGCGTGTATCACGGCCCCGTGAATACGCGGTTTCAAACATTCGTGCCATCTTTCTCGACGATTGTTTCTACGTTTCCTTACTCTCTCGAATGCAAATCTTTCGTCGGAATCATTAAAAAATTTCACTCGAGATAAAGACGATAGGTAAATAATAATAGCAACAACGTAAGTATAGGGGATAAGAGATACCTACTAAGATACGCAGCTACGATTCCACACGGAAGTCGACGAACCAAACGGCGTGGCCTTTAATGTTCTCGTGAAGCATTAATGAAGATTCGCTTTCACCGATATCGTCATTGCGAGTTACTCCGAGAACGCGGTTTCTTCCTCAACGATATTCTTAACTTTGCGCCCGATCGGAGAAACCATCCATAGAGAGATGGAGAGAGAGAGACCTTTCCAGAACTCTTTCTTACCTTTCTAAAGCAAAGATTAACGTACGAGCATCTCTCAATTTCGTTGGACATGGTAGAAAATAAGGGAAGCAAAGACTCGATCCGTTAGAGGTACGAATCAAAGCTGAATCATTTTATCGATCGAGCTCGATCGTAAGAATTTAATTGAACCAACTCGAAAAGTCAGTTTACACTGAGCGACCTTTTTTAAAAATATTCCCATTATACGAGAGAATACGATTCTTCGAATGTCGTTTTAACGATCGACTCGACTACGAAAAGTGTCTCCCTTGCTGAACGGTGTTTACCGTTATTTAATCTAAATTAATATCAATCGTACTACGTAGGTTGAGTCGATCGATCGAACTTTTTCGGATCTTCGAGAACGCGACCTCGACCGACTTTTTCAGCGTCGCATATTTATTAAAATGTATTACAAAGGTGCTGTGCCAGCGAATCGATAAATTATCATCTTGCATGCGCCCAACGCCCTGCTTTTTATACGCCGCTCGAAACACCTGCCAATTCTCGGCCAATGAGATCGAAAGAGAGGGAGAAGAAGAATGGACAGCTCGTTTGACGTTTCGATTTTTTCACAAGGCTTGCTCAAAACGAGCCGACACCTTAAAGAAGAAGGAGAGAAAGAAGAAAGCGTCAGGTAGCCTCGGTCGATCGTTTCGAAACGATTTTATACGGATCGGTAGATCCGCGAAGCGAAGAGCCCCGGAGAAGTGGTACACGGAGAGAGAAAGAGAAAGATCATCTTTAAATATCGGAGGAGAAGGAAACGCCCGAGAAAGTCCTAATTACGAAAACTATTTCGTCCTTGCGATCGTGAAAAGATGCAACAATAAATTTCTCTACAAAATTGATCTAATAAAATTGTCGCCAACGAAGCGTTTCACTTTTTCGTATTGCTATGGAAATGCACCTGACATGAACGGAGGGCCGTAACGATGACGAAAGTGAATTTTAAAATCGAGGTCTCGTGTTTGCGTCCTGTCGCGGACGTTGACCTTAATATGCGTCTAACGACTCCCCTCCCTCCCTCCCTCCCTCTCTCTCTCTCTCTTTAGCGCCACTTTGCAGAGCTCCTTTTATTCCAAGTGGGCACCACCATGTGGTAGCGCTTTCCTTACGACTCTGAAACATTCTTTTTTCTCGTTCTCACGACAATTCGTTCACACGGATTTCGCGGTGACTCAAGCGTAAAGTGCTGTGGGCGAGAATAAGAGAGACAAAGCGAGAGGGAGGGAGAAAGGGAGAGAGAGATATTTCAGGCCGCCTACTTGCGGTCCATTTTTATTTTCGACACAGGTGTCAACTGGCAATCGAGAACGCTTTATGTCTCTTTTTTCCATCTCTTCTTCTATCTCTCTTGTATCGATGATAGACAAAACGGTACTTTGTGATCGACGAAACGAACCATTGTTTAAAAAGTTTTACGAATTAAGGCATAGATCTAAAAAAAATTTTTACTCAGGATATATCGATTAAAATCCGAGTTTAAATCCAATCGTCGTAAACTACGATTAACATGAAAATAATTTGCGAGATGTAAACCGGGTTGACCGTTACGAGTTTCACAAGAAATAAGACAAAACGGACACGGAGTAGAGCTGCTCATGTTTTTTTCCTCCCTCTCCCTCTCTCTCTTTCTCTCTCTGAATGCTAGGTACAATGTATCGTATAGTTACATATTTAAAAAGATATCGTTCATTGCTTGCGCTCGTCCAAGCTCGTATAAAACGTATCGATCTACCCGCAGGGCAATTCGGTAACCCGATTTCATTGTCGGATGAGCGCGAAGCGTGGAAGCCAACAAAATGAATAAAATCTCATTAATGAGCTTGGGAAATGTACAAGATGATTTTTACTTTCCAGAGATCATTGACCGAACAATGTTTTCGAATAATATTTCGCATAACTACGGATAATGAAAAAACAATTCCTATTACCCATCTCCAGGTGTACCGATAATGGAAAGCGAAACGAAGTTGAGGTCGACGCGCATGAACTTATCCATTAAGGGAACTTTGCACGGTGTACTCCGGAAGACGCAAGAAAGCAGACTCAGCAGTGAAAGCGATCCCGTTCGATCCGTTCAATTCCGTGAAAAAAAAAAAAAAAAAAAAAAAAAAAAAAAAAAAATAAAAAGTATATACACTCTCACATACATATGTGTGTGTATGTATATCACAAACTCGGGTCTAAACTCTCGAATCGAGACGCAACTCGTGCGTATCTTTGAAACTGTAAGAAAGAAAAGTAAACGAGCGTGGAGTCGTTTTGAACTCGTGAAATAAAAGTTGGGAGAAGAAGCTCCCGTCTGTCGTGTACTTTTGTACGAAATAAAAAATATCAAGGAAAAAGAATATAAGCATATAAGAGTGCAGTAAGAAGAAAAAGGGAAAGAGAGAGAGAGAGAGAGAGAGAGAGAGAGAGAGAAAAGAAAGTCGTCGTATTGGCGCGCGCCAAGGGGGCCGCCGCCTTAAGGTTGTTACTGCTGGTGCTGCTTTGAGAGAGGCGGCACAAAGGAAGGAGAAAGAAGAGAAAGAAAAGAGAGACGGCGTGCGTACGCGGGACATAACTCGCGAATAATGCGCCATTTTATACGGCACCGTGCACTCGTCGCGGTGCGAGCCGTAAGCAAATGCATTTTGCAAAGGCTGCAGCGACCAACTTCCAGAAGAGGAAGAGGAAGAAGAAGAGACGTACGACGACGAGGAGGAGGAGGAGGAAGAAGAAGAAGAAGAAAAGACGGCTTAAGCCGAGCTCTCGCGTCTAAGGCAAGAGAGCGCGCTCGCGAGGCGACGACGAGCCGTCATTACGCTCGAAACACGCTCGTTAAGCTTCGCCAAGCAAAAATAGAACTTTCTTCCATTGGGAACTGCCAACGAGAGAAGAAAAGTACCAACATGGAAAATTTATGCATGTAAATAAATACGAAATCATACATTCGCTTTTTCAAATAAAATACAAAAACCTATCTCTCGCCCATTGATTTTTCGCGATAGGAGAAAATTTAGCTGGCACGGCGACATTAGTAAGAGTATGAATTAACGAGATCCGCTTGATTAAGGAGTCGATACCAAGCATTAACGGCCATTACGCGTCGTTCGTCGTTCGAGGCTTCAAATGCCTTTAAGGCCTTAAGGCGACTCCTAATTATTCACTTTCTCCGCCGTGCTCACGCGACGGAATGTTTGAGATTTGAAATTTTCTTATCCGTTAGGCTCTCTCTCTCCCCTCCCCCCTCTTTCTTTGATTGAATAACAAATAATCGAATCGAAAAGAAAGAAGAAACGTGGGTAATCATTCGTTTCGCGTGTTACGTAAAACGTCGCGCGGTCCTACCATTGTAACGATAAAATGAAAGAAACGAGGCGAGGCGAGGAGAGGAGAAGAAAAGAAAAGGAAAAAAGAAGAAAAAAAATGAAAAAGAAAAAGGAAATATGCGGCAGGCACGGTTATCCTCACTTTCACGATAATGAGAAAATTGCGAAACTCGAGATCGATTTTACAACACGATTTGTCGATCACGGACTAATGATAATTCCCGAGGCATCGATGGAATCTAACGATCGGAAGCGACCGATAGATAGATAGGTAGTAGAAGTAGAGGTACTTTTAAAAGATAATCACAGAATGAACATTTTCAAACGATGAATAAAATAACGAACCTTTGTACGGTTGAGAGGATTCGAAAAGTCCCAGCCGGGTGCGACGAAGAGGTATCCACATTTTGAAATCTTTCTTGTAGCCTGGAACAAAATGAATAAAGGGAATGAATAAAGTTTGATTAAACGATTCTCGAAAATGTTTCTCGACGAAAGGAAGAAAACGATTCGCCATGGATCCAGGTGCTGGATCGCGCGCTTTTAACTTTCGCTCGTTACGAAAGAGAAGAGGCCACAACCGTCGTCGTCTCAAGTTTTTCTTCATGTCGAACATGACAGAGTAAGGCACTGAAATTACACGTAGGGCAGCGATCGTTTCGTTCGCGCGAACATTGTTCGATCTGGCCTCGTCGTGTCTCGTCTTGATGGATCCACTTACGCACAACCCACGTGCAAAACTTAACTCTCGTAAGAACGCTCCTTCCAAACGAGTTTCTGCTTATGTATATCGTTTCTAAAGAACAAAATTGTAGGATGGAAACTGAGACGAGTCGAGTTTCAGTTTAAACTCTTGGAAATAAATCTATGGAAAAGAAAAGAAAAGGAAAGAAAAAGAAAAAAAAAATAATGGCAAGCTGCTGCTAGTTTCTCTACATTCGATGCTTCACGCACGGCCGAGGGAAAACGTTCGTCCTAATCGAGACGACCCATATAAAAGGAAAGTACGCTCGCAAAACTCTTGTCAACGAGTTCGCAAAATTACTACTCGTTCGACAACAACGACGACGACGACGACGACGACGACAACGAAGCAGATGGAGCGTGCTCCGATTCGCAAGAGAGAGAGGCGAGATAGCTCTCGTGCAGTTTCATCGTGAATCTCGAAAAGCGTCTTTCACGGTTCGCTTGCCGCGTTAATCGTGCCCGATCGAGAAAAATAGAAAGAAAAGAAAGAAAAGAAAAGAAAAGAAAAGAAAAGAAAAGAAAAGGAGAGGAGAGAGAATGAGAGAAGAAAGTAGAAAACTAAAAAGGAAAAAGTGACATTGGAAAGTCGCTATCGATATATAAATCCGCATCGCATTCTTGCGATATTACGGAAAACGTTATCATTCGAAATCACCGATCGATACAGTTTGTAGCATCGGCCGGCGAGGGTACGCTCTGTTTAACCGCTTTCCATCCGGTTTCCGATGATTTCCTGTCATTCCTCGACACTAACAATTAACTTCCGCTGGTTAAAGCGACCGCGCGTAAATACGTGGGACGCGTCGTTCGAAACGTCCTGTCAGAAATTCATTCGTTGCCGAGTTTAAAACGTTAGAATGCAAAAACTTGACATATTGACGAGTATGTATCCTGGCTCCATTTCCTCGTGCTCATCCTTGGCACGATTTGAAGTTAGTCCTTGCCGATCCTTAAGCTTCGATCTGCGACCCAGATCGGCCAGAGTGACATTTATAATTTCTAATAAGGCCGATAAGGCGTTCTCTCATTATTTCGTAGGTGTATATGCACGCAAGCACGCATGCACGCATGCACGCGCGCTCTCTCTCCCTCTCTGTATATACATCTTTCCCGGTTTGTACGTGCGCGTGAACACGCAAGAGGCACAACGAAGGAAAACGAGGAGCGAGTTGGCGTTTATTAAGGCAATTAAAGGTCTACCTTGTCGACGAATCAACTCGTTAGCCAATCAGAACACGTCGACGTGGGCGATGCCCGTCCAATGGGCGAATACCGTTAAACACGTTAATTCCTTCTCCACGCGCATAGACTTTAAATCGTTATTACATACTCCGAGCATGGTATAAACTATTCTCAAAGAATGCCAGCTGTCCGACTTGTCCATACAAGATGAAAGAACGTCTCTCGTATTCTCGTTGTGAAATAATCCGACGGACGGGCATTAATTATAAATTAAGTCGAGAATACGTGAGGATATTTCGTTAGCAAAATGATGATGACCCATTGACGGACGAGGCAGCAATTATAAAGAGGAGTTTATAAAGACGAGTTTACTCGATTCCAAGGGAAATGTAACAAATGTACATAATACTCGCGGACAACGCAGGAAAAATCCCACGCATCTGCATATCCCCCACATCCGGTATCCGTACTCAAACTCGTCACTGGAAACCTGTCTCTCACCTGGAGTTAACAACGTTATCATGCCGTGAAATCGGCCAACGAGTGGATTAACGCTTCGATAGAAAACAGACGCGTTTCGCCTCTCTTTTCGAGTCACGACACACTTTGCCTACCGCTTATTACGATTGTATGTGCACGTGTATTTCGATTTAATAATATAATCATAGCGATCTCGTCGTACGATTCATTAAATACTATAATTGCATTTTTCTCGCGATCCTATTCTCGATCCCAAGAGAGAGAAGGGAGCGAGGGCGGGGGAAGATAAGTGGGACGCTTTAATAAGCCTCGTTACGCGTCCACGGCATCGCCTTGACCCAATAACAACGGTTTCGCGATCTCCTCCTCGTAAAACGAATATTATTATAATAGAAGAAGCTGGTAGAACGAAAGAGAGACGTCTCTGAATGGAATATGGCAGGAGAAGAGACATTAGATAAGAGGATTTATTGATAAATTTTTCTTAGTCGCAAAGCGCTCCGGTCGATGCACATAAATTATCGCTTGCGAGTCGCAGTTATGTCAGAAGCTAAACTACTCCGCTCCCTTCTTGCCGAGCCCTCGCATATGTCCTCTCTTCCTCCTCCGTTACGTTACGCCGATTATTACCTCTCGAGCGTTTCGCAATAGCGATGCAGCTGTACATACAAGCGCGTACAAACATAAGGGGCCGCGACTATAGGTATTCCAAAAGAATTACTCAAGAGAAGAGATCGTTGGAGGTCGTAGACGTGGGATCGAACAAGTTGTTTTGCTGTCGCTTAAGAGAAACGAAGAGAGACCACTTGGAACGTTTCAGCGTAATCGGCCGAAGACTTTTGTCGGCCATTTTTCTTGCCACGCAAATCGCTAACAAGCCTCTGCTGCGGACTCTGCGAGGTGAGAATCGTGCGCTTATCGAGAATAAAAATGAGATGGGAACGAAACGCCTCGCATGCTGCGCGAGCACCTATGGATTACAAAACTATCCTCTCTATCTCTCGAACGTTTAAATTCCCTTGGAAATCGATGCTCGTTATCGCACCTCGCTCTCTTCGACGTTTCTCCCCTTTACTTCTCTTTACGTACTCTGACAATAATTGCGAGTTTGTAAACGTCTCTGTATACAATCTTTTTTAATCGCGTTATCCTTCAAAAATTTGTAAAAAAGAAAAACATTCCAACGTAAACAGCCGTTTTTTCTCTCTCTCCTTTTATTCGTGGAAAATATTACGATCATGCGTTCGATACGTTTTCATTTTCCTTTTTAAGGTCAAACGTTTCCCCTCTCTCTCTGTCGCACGCGCCTCTGAATCAGCGTATTTTCTTATTTTATTTGCCTCATCCGCAAAATATCCGTGTTGTAAGAATTCTTCCACGAATCGTAAACCCGTAGTAAAGCCATGTTATATACGCGTGTACGTTGCGTGTTATCATTTTCACCGCTCGAGAAGAACCGAAGCCTCGGGATGATCTCGACCGTATATTTTCGGCTCTCTGCCTTAATCCGCCTTCGCAAGGACGCACAACACGCGGGATTATTATATTATTAACGATCTCGAGAGTCGGACAAAAAGCAAATGACGTAATCGAATACGATCAGGATCGGGATATCTCTATGTGTGTACGTAGGTACGTAAGTACTTACGTATGTAAATACAGTCGTAAATACATTACGCGTATAGACTACGCTGGTGTATAACATATATATATGTATATATATATATATATATATAGGTAAAACGACGTCGTGATGCGCACTTGTCGGCAATGACTGGCCTGCTGCGCGCTTCGTGCTTGCCCCAAGGCAATAACAGATAAGTACTTGCGCGTACACGTATAATATTCGAGCGAAAAAAAAACCAGAGCTACGTTTCGACTCTGTCTCGCCAATGCCTTCCAAATGCCAATATCATTATCAATTCGCAAAATGGCCTCTTTCTGGGAAAGTAAACGACGTAGCGTTGAAGCTCGAAAATCGAAAGTTTACGAGAGAAGAGATTTCTCTTTTTACTTTTGTTAAACGAATTGCGAATAACAATGATCTCGCTATGACAAGAAAGAGCACGGTGAAAACAATCGCCATTGAGTGGCATCTTCGTACACGACTTTCTTCGACTACCGACAAAGCCTAAGTTTTCGATTTCACGGTCGACCGTGAATAGAAATTCCGATTCGTATTCGAGGTACGCGGTTTCCTCGGTCGACGAATCGCGAACTCAAACCGCTCTCCGCCGCTTCTCCATAGGATCGCATTCGAAAGTGCGCGCGCGCTTTAATTTGAATCGTGACTCGACCGTAAATGAAAATGCTTCGTAACGATTACGCGCCTCGTCGAGATATTTCGACGTTCTCTCGTAAAAAATCGACGATCCTTCGCTTCCCTTCGTCGATTCTCATTGCGAAAACATCGAAAATGACTTATTTGCGCGAAATTACGCGGAAGTACGTTCGACCGACCGACCGACCCACTCTACTCGTTTATTTGTTCGTACATTCTTTTCTTTTTCTTTTTTCCTTTCCTTGTTTTTGTATTTTTTTTTTTTTTTTTTTTTTTTTTTTTTTTTTTTTTTTTTTTTTTTTTTTTTTATATTATTTCAAACCGACGACGTTGTACGTTTACCAACGATATTAACTACAACCGAAACCGTTACGGAACCGATACGCCAACGTTTCTATCGTTTTTCATCTCTTTTGCAAGGTTCTTAGAGATCGAAGACCGTTATTTTCTACCGCGCACACGCTTTTCCGTCAATTTGCAAATACAGTTATAAAGGCCGCTCGCAAACGTACGATCCGAGTCGAGTGAAGCGTTCGAGTTCACGCGTAATATTAATTACACGCACAACCCATCGAATCTTATAATTAACTTTGCGCGACGCAACGGAAAGATTTGCGATGTCATACGAAAAATCAAAATTACGGGGAAAAAGTTGATGGGATATTTTATAGTACGTTGGCCGCTCGTTATCTCATCGGCCATCGGCCTCCGATCTATCGATACGAGAGATAGAGAA